GTGTAATATATATATATACCCCCACAACTACCGTATACTGTGTAATATATATATATACCCCCACAACTACCGTATACTGTGTAATATATATATATACCCCCACAACTACCGTATACTGTGTAATATATATATATACCCCCACAACTACCGTATACTGTGTAATATATATATATACCCCCACAACTACCGTATACTGTGTAATATATATATATACCCCCACAACTACCGTATACTGTGTAATATATATATATACCCCCACAACTACCGTATACTGTGTAATATATATATATACCCCCACAACTACCGTATACTGTGTAATATATATATATACCCCCACAACTACCGTATACTGTGTAATATATATATATACCCCCACAACTACCGTATACTGTGTAATATATATATATACCCCCACAACTACCGTATACTGTGTAATATATATATATACCCCCACAACTACCGTATACTGTGTAATATATATATATACCCCCACAACTACCGTATACTGTGTAATATATATATATACCCCCACAACTACCGTATACTGTGTAATATATATATATACCCCCACAACTACCGTATACTGTGTAATATATATATATACCCCCACAACTACCGTATACTGTGTAATATATATATATACCCCCACAACTACCGTATACTGTGTAATATATATATATACCCCCACAACTACCGTATACTGTGTAATATATATATATACCCCCACAACTACCGTATACTGTGTAATATATATATATACCCCCACAACTACCGTATACTGTGTAATATATATATATACCCCCACAACTACCGTATACTGTGTAATATATATATATACCCCCACAACTACCGTATACTGTGTAATATATATATATACCCCCACAACTACCGTATACTGTGTAATATATATATATACCCCCACAACTACCGTATACTGTGTAATATATATATATACCCCCACAACTACCGTATACTGTGTAATATATATATATACCCCCACAACTACCGTATACTGTGTAATATATATATATACCCCCACAACTACCGTATACTGTGTAATATATATATATACCCCCACAACTACCGTATACTGTGTAATATATATATATACCCCCACAACTACCGTATACTGTGTAATATATATATATACCCCCACAACTACCGTATACTGTGTAATATATATATATACCCCCACAACTACCGTATACTGTGTAATATATATATATACCCCCACAACTACCGTATACTGTGTAATATATATATATACCCCCACAACTACCGTATACTGTGTAATATATATATATACCCCCACAACTACCGTATACTGTGTAATATATATATATACCCCCACAACTACCGTATACTGTGTAATATATATATATACCCCCACAACTACCGTATACTGTGTAATATATATTTACCCCCACAACTACCGTATACTGCGTGATATGTATACCCCCACAACTACCGTATACTGCGTAATATATTACCCCCCACAACTACCGTATACTGTGTAATATATACCCTACCCACTCCTGTAATATGTAAAGCCCACCTACTGTATACTGTGTTATATACCGTTTTCCCCCGAAAATAAGACAGTGTCTTATTTTTTTTTTGCACGAAATAAGACACTAGGTCTTAAGACCTTCTCCATTTTTAGGATCCATAGAGATCAGGTAAGATATCAGGCAGCCAATATAGGTCGATGCCGGGCTACTTCCTCGTGTGTTTGTAGTTCGTGTCCCTTGTTACCGCCAATGATGAATATTGAGTCTCAGCGACCACTTACATTGGACTATCACTCTGCTAATTGGCAGCCGAAAGAAGCACCAAACCGCTTTCTCCACCCATCCCAGAGGTCTTCCATTGACCAAAGTAGGGGACACCTCTCTGAGCTCGGCTTCCATGTAATGCAATTTATCAGCAATGTGCTGAATGCTCCTTGTATGTTAGATGCGGTCCTTGCAAAGGACTTCGATTAACCCCTTGTAGATATTGTGGACACCCCTCCCGTGTGAACGAGGCCTTACACATGTCTTTGTGGTATAAGAAGGCTTCCAGCTTGAAGTTGCTATTTGCATATTGAGGCAGCTAAAGATGACCATAGCACCATCTTGATGACCAACCTTACCTTCGAGTGGAACGTCACCCTTATCTTAAACATGACGACAACAACACCTTTAGAAATGTTTAGTGATGACAATGTACATACGGATACTGCTAGATCCTTTTATTGAACATGTGCGTTATCCATTTGGGGCTAAGTAACAGGTTCACCTTACTTTTTATTACTGTAATTGTCAGCTACAATTGCAGCATTAAGAATTTACATCTTCAAAGAGGAACTTTACCCAGATCTTTGAAATGACAACAAAGGCACCTTTAGAAATGTTTAGTGATGACAATCTACACACAGATACTTCTGGATCATTGCCGGCTTTGTATTCTTGGCATTCCTTATTTTTCTTCCCATTCTTGGAGAGGAGAAGCTATGTGTGGTTAACACTGCTGTGGGGGGAAGGGAGGGTGCACTGTTGACCACGCTAGCCCAGAAACCACATCGCGGATCAGAACAGGACCACTTGGTCCCCGGGCAATTCCACAAAGATTTAAAGATTCTTTAAAAGAGAACTATGGGGTCAGTGTTTGTTTTTCCTACTAGTTCTTTTTAGGGTCACGGGAGGACGTATACGAACTTCCCCCTGTCACCCAAAGCTCAGTATATTGCAGACTATTGCCCACAATATACTGACAGCGCCGCAGCCGGGACAGATCCGACAATGCTGTCGTGATCCACCCCGCTGGCTGATTGACGGCTGGCTCTGTCTATCTAGAGGCAGCGCAAGCTGTTCCCGCCTCCTCCCCTGTTCGTTCCTCCAGGAGAGGGGAGGGGGGAATCCCTGCGGGGAGCGGTGATTTACCGTCACTGCAGGGAGACGGTCGGGCAGATCGGCTGCATGTTTCTGCTCACTTCCCGATCGATGGAGCTGACCTGTGACAGCTTCTTTGTCACACGTCGGCTCTAACTATGAGGATGAGTGGAAATCGCTTGCCTCATAGTGCTCCAAGTTATTCCCAGCTCTCATAATGGACTCAGACCTTCGTCTGGAACTTCCTGTCCTCTTAAAGTGAACCTGTAGCACGAGCAAAGCACAGGTTTTTAGCCGTGTGCATCTTGGGAATCTTTGTGTTGTTTTTTTTTTGGTTCTCCTTCATGAAAACCCATTTGCACGGCTATTATGGGACACATGCAGAGCTTTCCTACATTGCTGCTGAATGTCTGTATCAATAAGAAGAAATCCCAGAGACTGGCTATCCAACATGCCTTCATATATCCAGCTCCAAGTTAGGGCCCGTGCACACACAGGGCAGCCAGGGACCAGCATTTACCACTCTAGACGAACGCAGGTCAAAGCTAGGACACATAGACCACCATTGGTCTCCATGTGCCCTGCTGGAGCTGCCACAACGCACTAGCCCGCCCGCTAAAACGCAGCATTTTAGTGAACGGTCCTTTGATCTCCTGCCAAAAGCCACCAGTGATTGGATGCCTGATGGCACTATGTGGACATGATATGGTTAAATAAGAAAGCTGGTTCAAGATAATGTACCAAGCAGTGTCATGGCGTCTCTGAGAAGTGCGGACCATGAATCTTGGTGCCTTAATCTTCTGGGACCTTCATCTCGCAGGGCTCATAAGTGGAACTTGATCTGGTGGTCATTGTGCTTCTCTGTGTGTTTTTTTTTGTCTGCAGTGTAACGCATGTTGTGCTGTTGGTGAATACAGAGACAGTCAAATATGAACTCACGTGGGCTGTAGAGCGGCAGGGAAAAACATTTTTTTTTTTTCCTCTACAGTACCCCATGTTATCGGGGTCTGGAGGTATGAATGGTGGTGCATAATAACACGTTATCTTGCGCTGTCATGCATTTGTCTACATATATGTTGGCCTTTTACAAAGAAGGTAAGGGCTTGTTCACACCGCAGTGCAGTGCGATCGCGGTTTTGTTCCTCTGCAAATGCAAAAAAAGGCAAGCCCTATTTTTTGCTGGCAAAGTATTGCCACTCATTCGATCGCCCTGCGAGGTGGGGGGGTGGCGTGGAAGTGGTGCCATTGAATTCAATGCACCGCCACGCCCCCTCCCGTCCCAAAACGCAGGGAGAAGTTTCTTAGTGATCGCGGTGCGTTCCACAGCTACCGCTCTGGAACGCACACGCTTTCGGTGTGAACAAGGCCTTACGTTAATGTGTGCAGGGCATGCAATGGTGCACACTATTGTATACTTATACATATATGGTATGTTTATGGGCCGCTATTCTCACTCCAGACCAGTCACCCTGCACAAGGAGAGAAAGCAGCAGTGACCGGTTTTTATTACAGGAGGGGGCGGAGACAAGACCAGTCACCCTGCACAAGCCAAGAGAGCAGCAGTGACCAGTCTTTATTACAGAAGGGGCGGAGACAAGACAAGTCAACCTGCACAAGGAGACAGCAGCAGTGACCGGTCTTTATTACAGAAGGGGGCGGAGGCGAGACCAGTCACCCTGCACAAGCCAAGAGAGCAGCAGTGACCGGTCTTTATTACAGGAGGGGGCGGAGACAAAACCTGTCACCCTGCACAAGCCAAGAGAGCAGCAGTGACCTGTCTTTATTACAGAAGGGGGCGGAGACAAGACCAGTCACCCTGCGCAAGGAGAGAGCGGCAGTGGCTGGTCTTTATTACAGAAGTGGGCGGAGACCAGATCAAAGAGGGGAAAATAGGTCAAATTCTTAAGTTGAACCAAATTTGTCTTTTTTTGGTTTCATTGTGAAGCCGCTTCAGTCGGTCCTGCAGTATGTTGCAGTTTATTATAAGAGCCGAACAAAAAAAAAAAGAGGAAACAAATCAGTCTTCTCCTTGTAAGTCGGAGTTGAGGACTGAGCCAGATTTTTTTCCAGCTTCCTTCCTTCGTTGTATTATGTAATTACCTATTGTGAGCTCGCTTTCTCCCGCAGTGAACCGCCGCCAGAACGAGTGGGTGGACAAAACCCGGTTGGTGCTGCCGAAGCCAGCAAAGGAGGAGGACGCGGGCGATGGAGAGGACGAGGAGGCCTTGGATAATGGAAAGAAGACGGAGGAGGGCGAGCCTGAACAGAAGGTAACTCGAGGCGCAAAAGTCGCCCCTCCACCCCCCCATCAGTTCTCACCGCATGTTTGGGACTATCCGCTCATCCCGCTGACGGCGTCTCGGTGCCTCTGGCGAGTTGCGAGTGTCGTTATGTTTGTGCGCTCGTGTCTCTGCCAGAAAACGTGTGATGTAGCTGGCGTTCACTTGTGACTGCCGGTGTTCAGATATCCCGACCTCTCCAGTGTAACAGATGGCGGGTTACATTGGGGACTCGAGAGTTAAGTTGCCAGTTTTCAAACAATACTAGTAACCGGCCTTTTAACCCTTTCCTGCTGTCACAACCCCATTTAAGTGAATTTTCACAGTGGAGGCGTGTCCTGGGCTTTCTTGATCTTGTGATTGGCTTACACAGTGATCACATGATCGGGAGCTTGTCCTGTAGGCTCCTGACTGTAAAGTGCCCAAGAGCTGTCTGTGACTGATGTGGCAGTGCTGAGGGCCCAGTGAGTGAACTCCCAGCACTAAGGCCGTGACAGATTTATGTATGTATGTGGCAGCACAATGTTAAAACCCAGCGCTGTGCGTCTACATATGTGCACAGGACCGGTGTTTTGTCGTTAAAGCAAAAGTGGCTCTTTTTTTTTCCTCTCGGGCCCTCCTGCTCTGCTCATCAGACCTGAGATGCAGACACAAGGAGATCTCAGTTCTGTGGGCTGCACAGGTCCGGGCCACGCCAAGAGCCTTCTGCCAGCATCTGTATTCTGAAAATGCTGCGCATGTGGCGGTCGTCGCATATAATAGGGCGCACTCTGCAATGGCATGGTATACTATCTGACCGGCGCATTGCACGTGCATGTTGCAGCCACACATGCAGCTCGTTGTTCATTTTGAGGACACTACAACAATCTGTACAGTAGCTGGCAACAGACAACGTTCTGCCACGTAATGAAGGTGCATGTTTGATTTTTTTCCTGCGTTTCCAGTCCATTAAAGACTAAGTCCACCTTTTTAGACTGCTTTGTTATACCAGTGTTTAGGGTGTGCCAGCGATCCCTCGTCCGTGCCTCTGTAGAGACCGGAGGTTGGAGGGAGGTATTGCAAGAGCCTGCACATAACCCGCTGATTGCAGGTGCAATGCTCTGCAGGATTCCTTTCATACTCTTTGGCAAAGGTGGACCTTCTCTTAAATGACTGGGCTACCGCAAGCAGTGCACCTTTTAAAAGAGAACTATGGGCAAACCTTTTTTGGCTTTAGTTCTCTTTTTGGGTCACAGGAGGACATTTCTAACGAAACTCAGCATATAGCAGGCTTTAGCTCACTATATGCTGACAGCGCAGAGTAATATTGTCGGGGTCCACCGCGTTGCCTGATTGACAGCTGGCTCTGCCTCTCTAGAGCCAGAGCCAGCTGTGCCTGCCCCCTCCTCTGTCTGTCCCTCCATTAATGCTGGAGGAGGGGTGGGGAGTGGGGAATCCCTGCAGGGAGCTGTGACTGACGGTCCCCGTTCTCTGCAGGGAGAAGACCATGAGCTGCGCAATCAGCGGTGTGTGAACGTCAATCGATCAATAGAGCCGACGTGTGACGGCTGCAATGTTCCATGCTGGCTTTAACTACGGGGATGCGTGCATCCCGTCTCCCCATAGTTCTCCTTTAAATCATGCGTTTACATCTTTTATTTCTTCTTGCGCTGGCCATACACTTAATTTTTCTCGTTTAGCCCCTGGGATGAACGAGAAAAATAAACGCTGACGCCACTCGGCGTGGATCCCCACCTCGGCCAGGTTATTGTATCCTGACCGTGTCGGGTGTGCCGCTGTCTGAATACCCGAAAAGTCACCGTTCAGCTGAGAATTTTCAGACCGACTCCTTCAACAAAAGTAGATTGAAAAAAATCGGCCCGCTTAAAGCCCAAAATACACTGAACGCGAAGCCGCACGGAGCTTTGTGGGCAGTTTGTGAGCTGAGTGCAGGCAGATGATTGACTGCACCTTCAGCCAATCGGCTCGTGCGTAACAACCTGCCAGTCGTCGCAGCCTGAAGCGCGGGTTCATATGCGCGAGCCGATTGGCTGAAGATGACATTTTTCATCTCGGCGTTCTCTGCTATGCAATCTCTCGCATGTTGACGTGCCGGGGAGAAAATTACATGACACGCTGCTAGCGAAGGCAGCGCGCCACCGCTCCGTGCTGCTTCGCGTGCAGCGTCTCGCAGCCTTTACTGTCCCTTCTCCGTCTGGGTAACCTGTGCAGTTCTGTAGCAAGCCCTTGAGGTTGTCCACATGTCAAATCCATTTGGCTTGCTGAGGACTCTCCATCAGCCCGCATTGCGCTGCTTCGTTTACATGTGAGTGGGCGAGCTGAGCCCGCGGGGGTTAGACCGGCCCAGGACGATGATATCCCAATTTGGCCGCTGAGTCGGGTCATTCCTACAGAGCTTGTAATGAGTTTCCAGTTATCTTACAGAGAAAGGAAAAGGAGGTCAATAGGTTGTGGAGCTCTTTTAATTTCCAGGGTGCATGTAGCCTGCGCTGTGGAAGAAGTCGTCTTTTATTGGCTCGTGGGGAACTTCACACCTCTGAATTCGTCTCTTGGCAGCGAAGGGTTACGGAACGGTTGCTTTGCCATCCGCTGCAAACTTCAGTATCATGTTGGTGATGATATTGGGAGCGTCAATGGCCATGTTTGTCTGGAGGTCTCACGCCATCTTACTACCTCAGCCTTTGTCACATTCGGTCTTCAGCAGAACATTCTACTGATGTTTTCCTGAATCCTGCTCTACAATGGTGCTTTGAATACAACCAAATGCAGTATGACCGCGGTGGCTGACCACTGGAGGCCTCCAGACATGGTCTGCCATGACGCCCCAGAAGATCTATGGTGGCCCGATGTGTTCAGTGTTTGAAGACATCGGCCTGAAATTCCATAGAAATCTCAGGAAGATTAAAGGAGACGTGAACTACGGCCGAACCTTTTTTAGCTTTAGTTCTCTTTTGGGTCACAGGAGCTTATTTACTAATGTCCTCCTGTGACCCAAAACTCAGCATATAGCAGGCTATTGCCCTCTATATACTGACAGCGGCGCAGAGCTATGCTGCAGTCAGGATGGATCCTGACAATATTGCTCGGATGCACCCCGCTGTCTGACAGCTGGCTCCGCCTCTCTGTAGCCAGAGCTCTTGCCTCATGAGACTTCTAGTTCCACAACAGCTGGAGGGTCAGTGTTGCCCACCCCTGGTGTACAACTACATGTCCCTCTTCTGCTCATTCACCAACAGATATCCATTGACTGAGTCCTCACATACGTGGGCTAAACTTACATTTGTACCTGACAATCAATCCAATTCTGGAGATCTGTATCATTTGCTGGCTCACCCACATTTGTTTACCATTCAATAACATTTTTCATGGTTGTAAATTCCTAAATGCCGGCTTTGAGGTGACACGGTACCTAAAGTAGCACACAATGGCTGTTCCTGTCATCACCACATCTCGCTCATCCTTGTCACACTGGAAATAAATGGTTCCAGCAGCCATTTTCTCTGAAATAAAGACTATTTCCCTTAAAATGTCGTAGTGCTTCAGATGCCGGAGTCCATATTTACACTCTGCACGCCTGTGGGTCGCTCTTCCTTTTTGCACAGTCTTTAATTAGCTAGGGACCCTATAAAGCCGTGGTTCTCAACCTGTGTAACCTCAGGACCCACGTTTGTCCTCGGTCATTGAAAGAGAACTATGGGGTAAGTGTTTTTCCCCATAGTTCTCTTAAGGGTCACGGGAGGAAATATACTAGCGTCCTTCCGTGACCCAAAGCTCATTATATCGCGAGCTACAGCTCGCCGTATACTGAGACCACCGCAGCCGGGACGGATCCCGACATTGTCCGCCCAGCTGCGTGAGTGACAGCTGCCTTCACTCTGTGGCTTGAAAAAGAAGACACGCTCTTCGAAACGCGTAGCCAGCTTGATTACTTTCACCCACCACCTCCGCCACTCATTCTCAACCGCTGTATCTCACAGACACACCTCGTGCCCTCGAGCGGTGTAGTCTCACCCCGACCCCAACATCCACCTCCAGGCCATCTTCCTCACCATTGGCTTCCCCCGTACATTCCCTGCCTGACAGCATCAACTGTGCACCGCGACTCCCCCACACACACACACACACAGTCCTCAGGCACACATTCGTTATTAGCCAGCACGTTTCAGACAGCCAGTCCTTCTCTTAAACCCGAGCCTGCTCCCCCCCTCTGATCCCAGCCACACTAAACGTCTGACCCAGATCCCCTTGGACATCACACTTTCCCAGCACCAACTTTTGCAACATCACCCTGCCCACCACCACCAGCAACCCTGGACTCCCAATTTATCCACACTTCGTCGCTGATAACGCGCTAGTACCCACACCCTGGTAAGTCTTTTTTCCATTATTCCTTTACCTTTCCTTGCTCAGTCACCACTTGGTAGTGCGCTTCTGTACTTTTTGTCTTTTCTGACAGCTGCCTCTGCCTATCTAGAGGCAGAGCCAGCTGTACCCTCCCCCATCAGTTCCGCCAGTCAGCGCTGGAGGAGGGGGGGGGAATCCCTGCAGGGAGCTGTGACTGACCATCACTGCTCTCTGCAGGGAGATGATCAAGAAGTGAGCGAGCGACGGTATGTGTTCTCTCACTTGCCCATCTATAGAGCCGACGTGTGACAGTTTAATTGTCACAGGTCGGCTCGAACTATGAGGAGGAGTGATTTTCACTCGCCTCATAGTTCTCCTTTTTAAGTTGCAACCCAAGTTGCACAGCATTACAGTACCGCATGTTCTGGTGCGGACTAACAAACTGTGGGCAGGAGGTGCATTTGGGGTGCCATTCAAATGAACGGCAGCGCACCACCCGCACCAGAATGGTGGGTACAATTTCCTGATACATTGCGTTAATTGCACGGGTCTGTGTGATTAATTGTGCTGTACTAGTGTGAACTGAGCTTTAAAAACGGGGACACAACCACACATTGTCACACACATACACACTTTTTTTTTTTTTTGTAAATCCACCCAGTCTCCCTACCTTATGAGAACTGGAGTGGATCCTCAGCCTGGGGTCCAGTGTGGGCTGCTGTGACGGAGCTCCATCCATATGTGCATTGCTGGTACAGCTCCCTTGCGTGCCCTGCAGTGGTGCCGGGAGACAGAATGTGACATCACTCCGGTCCAGGCACCTCTACAGGACACGTGAGGGAGCACAATGCACGTATGGATGGAGTCCCTCGTGGCCATACCCCCATCCCGCCCCACCTCAAGCTGACACTCGGCGCCGGGCAGCATATTTTGAATGGCTGCTCGGCGTAAGAACTGACAGTGCTGCGCTAGGTGGAGGCTGAGGAGCCTCTCGCGTAGCGCAGTGGAGGGTCCGCAGCAACCCATTGAACGCAGGGTTACGACCCACTTTTGGGAATACTCACCAGTTGAGAACCATGGCTTTAAAGCACAAACACATTGTGGTTTTTATACTACTTATGCACAACTGTGTACCAGTAATTAGGTGTTTAATTATCTAGAGTCCTGATGTATTGTACACATTTACATTGACAAGTCCGCAGGTGCCTATAAATAGAAATTGTGCGTTTGTGGAACCGGCATTGACAACACTTTCCTGAACGCCGGGCAATCCATTATAATAAAATAACATAGTTGACCTGAAAGGTGAACTAATGATGATTGTAATTGGAACTTTCTTCATTAAATGTTTCTCAAAGTTGAATATTAAATTCATTCTTAAAATAATGTCGGTGTTAACGTTGATCCTATCGTGTGTCTGTGCATTTGAGTGAATGACTTCTCGGCACCGGCTGTCATTTTCCAAGGTAAGGTTAAAGTCTAAATCCACCTTTCCACCCACATATCTTCTACTGATATTTAGCTGATAACATGGTGACCACACTTGTAGGTAAATAACTTCCTCCAGCCCTGTAACCAAAAGTCCGTACCTGGGTTCAGACCTGGAACAGTCTGCAGAAGCCAGAGCATTGCACCCCTGATCAGTTGCAGTGCTTTTATTTTTTATATCTGTGTTTTAGCCTTATATTTGACCTCCGTCCTCCCCTTCAGTCTTGCACAGTTGTACAGACTCCTCTACGGGAAGGAGGAAGAGTAAGCTGCAGGCGTGTTAATGTGCCTTCACTTAGAGAGCCTGGAGAACGTGGAAGTCCAGGTGCTCTGTTATGTAAATGATGATTCCAGCTCCATAGTTGGAGGTCTAGGCTGCCACCTTGTTCCTTTCCAGCCTTTGCTTTGGTACGTCTGTACTTTGGGTGGCCATGGTGACTGGTGAGTGTGTCCTGCTAATAGTATACCGGGGTAGCACAGAGCTCTGACCTTGGAGCTGAACTATATGTGTAATATAGGGACCAAGGTTTGTGCTCCCAGTTGGCTCTGGAAGACAATTCATGATGCTTTGTACTGATATCTTTAGGTGGCTACAGTTACCTCTGCTCTATTTCTAGTTATCATATTTGCTGCAGGTTCACGCCAAAGCAGACATCCTAAACCCAACTAAAAGAGGGGCCCCCACGGAGTATAATAAATACGGAAGGGGGCCCCATCACACCTTCATAATTCCAGATTAGGATGACGGCATTTGTGTAGTTTATGTAATAACTGCAATTTACAATATTGAATCCCTGAGGTAGCGGCTTTAACGTGTATTCAGCTGCACAAATTGCTTTACGTGGCTCTTGAAGTAGAAAGGTTCCGTTCTAATGAGAAGCTAATACTTGGCTGCCAGCACACTGTCTGGTAGTGAGGATTCTGCGGGCACTGTAGCTCTTGATAGAGTGGATATTGCCAGGGCGGGTAAGCATACTGGGGGGGAACTCATCAAAACCGGAGCAGACAGAATCTGGAGCAGTAGTCCATGGCAACCAATCAGCTTCTCTCTTCAGTTCAGTTATGATTTGAAAATGAGACTGAGAAGCTGATTGGTTGCTGTGCACGGCTGCTCCAGATTTTGATAAATTCCGCTCTATCTCTTTACAGGGGAAACTTATTTTTAATCTTTATTAGGGTTGAGGGGCCACTTTGTGAGTTGAGCCTAATGTATTTTGTATCAATGAATGTTTGGCTTTTCTAACCAAGAACATAAAGCAATGAACCATTTTTTAAATCATCTCTCGAGCTTTAAAGTGACACTAAACTCCGGGGTTAAATCTTAAAATACATTCAGGTCCCTGAACTCTGAGCAACAATGGATCTTATTTGTGTATCACTCGGCTGCAGATCCTCCAATAATCTCTGACACTGTCCTTCCTTCTGGAGGGGGGCTACGTCTGTTCCCCATGGTCCCTGTGTGTGTTGTAGAGTAGTCACCGCTCCAAGCTCCCCCCGGGATGGACTACAATCTCATGTTTTAGTCTACTAATTTGTATTGAGATTGTAGTCCATCCCGGGGGGAGCTTGGAGCGGTGACTACTCTACAACACACACAGGGACCATGGGGAACAGACGTAGCCCCCCTCCAGAAGGAAGGACAGTGTCAGCACCAATTCAGAGATGATTGGAGGCTCTACAGCCGAGTGATACACAAATAAGATACATTGTTATTCATAGTTAAGGTACTTGAATGTATTCTTAATATTTACCTCCGGAGTTTAGTGTGACTTTCAGTGTTTCCTTAGCTGGGGACTCGATCACTTTAAATTCTTAAACATGCTGAGGACCATTTTTAATGAGTGAGGATACACATGCTGCCCAAATCAGCAGTATGACGTGCCTCCCTCAAGGATCACATTCTTTTATATATGCCTACATCAGTACAGGGCTGTTGGTTGTATCCCATATGGGAAGAACCAAAAGGTGACTTCTCCGGGGTATGAGGTACCAGATATCCATTGAAGACATTCCGTGGTGTTTTCACACAGGGAACGGCACCCCCTGGCCTATATTTATAAAAACTGGTGGTCAGAAATGGTTCTGTCCTCGTCATTGTTCTGTTTGAGCAGACAATGGCAATCTTTATAAACCCAATTGGGTAAGAACAGTCACTTACAGTCCTGCCATGCAAACCAAGGCATTGCACAGACGTCGTTCCTCTCTTTGCAGAGTCTTATATGTGTACATTTCAGAAGGTACATGACTGTAAGTTTCCTTGTTTGCTACTCCAGTAAAGTTGCTTGATGATCATTTTTTGCAGGAATGATTTGTGCAGACTCTGCAGCTGATGTTTTATCTGTTGCCTATAAAGTCCCTACAATCCCTGACTCTTCTTTCTCTTCTAGAAAGCCAAGGTGGAGGTCCATGAAGCTCCCCGGAGCAGCTCTGTCATGACGTCTGGGGATTTTGCCGAGGAGTTGACCTGCCTGCTGTGCAACGAGCTCTTCAGGGACCCCGTCATGGTCGAATGCGGCCACAACTTCTGCCGTAACTGCATCGACAAGGCCTGGGAGGGTCGCGATGCCTTCACGTGCCCCGACTGCAAGGAGGAAATCACCGAGAAGAGGTACACTACCAACCGAGCCCTGGCTAACCTGGTGAAGAAGACTGCTGGAGGCGCTGACAATCTGACTCCCGCCAAACCAGCGGAGAAGGAAAAGACTCGATCTCTTGAGAAATGCCCTGAGCATGACGAGAGGCTGAAGCTTTATTGTAAGGATGACGGGACCCTCAGCTGCGTCATCTGTCGCGACTCCCTGAAACACGCCAGTCACAACTTCCTTCCCATCCTGGACGCAGTGGGCGTGTACAGAGTAAGTGACATAGTATGATGGCTGGTCGTAAACTATTGTGGTTGGGTACTCTGTTATTAACCTTGTCGGTCTTGTGTTCTCTCCAGACCGAGCTGTCTGCCATAGTGTCTCCACTACATGAAGCCCTGAAGGTGACTGAACAACTCACCAACCAGCAGAATGAGAAGATTGAGCAGCACAGTGTAAGTGAACGCATGCAGGTGGCTTGCAGGAGCTTATGAGAAGGCCTTTTCTATTCATTATTATGGGCCGCTTTCAAATCCTTATTCACTCATGCAGAGAGCGTGCTCTAGATGGTCATTACCCATGCTTTGGGTTTCTTTAGAAGTCCCGAGAGGCTTGGCACCAAGACAATCTGCGGAGATGCGGGTTTTATGAACTGTTCTCACCAGAGATCTAAAACCAATCACTACAGTCTTATACAATTAACATGATTCTGGGTCTCCGCTGTACTCCTGTGCTGTCGCATGCCTTGGTACTGACACACATTGCTTAGGCGTGGTCCAGCTTTGTCACATTCAGGAAGCTGATCCATAACAATGGTGTCCAACTGATGATAGAGCCAAGTGTATGTAGTGCTTGACAAGAAGAGGCCGGAGGAGATCAGCAGCAGGAAACAGGATTCTATTTGAAGAAATATTACATCTAACCTTTAGTGCTAGAACTCTCCAGTGAGCAGGAAGGAGTTTTGCTAATTGCAAGTCTGACTCTGCAGGGGGTAAGTTAGACCTCTGCAGAGAAACCACTGCCTCCACATAAAGTGTCGGAGGGGGGCGGAAGATGGAAGCCATTGGAGGGATTGTCAGAGGGGCGGTGGATGGAAGCCATTGGAGGGATAGTCAGAGAGGGGCGGAGGATAGAAGCCATTGGCAGTATTGTCAAAGGGGCGGTGGATGGAAGCCATTGGAGGGTTTGCTGGAGGTGGGGCGGTGGATGGAAGCCATTGGAGGTATTGTCAGAGGGGTGGAGGATAGAAGCCATTGGAGGTTTTGTTGGAGGGGGGCGGTGGATGGAAGCCATTGGAGGGATTGTCAGAGGGGTGGAGGATAGAAGCCATTGGAGGGATCGTCTGAGAGGGGCGAAATATGGAAGCCATTGGAGGGTTTGTTGGATAAGGGCGGTGGATGGAAGCCGTCGGAGAGGGGCGGTGGATGGAAGCCATTGGAAGTATTGTCAGAGGGGCGGTGGATGGAAGCCATTGGAGGGTTTGTTAGAGAAGGGCGGTGGATGGAAGCCATTGGAGGGATAGTCAGAGAGGGGCGGAGGATAGAAGCCATTGGCAGTATTGTCAAAGGGGCGGTGGATGGAAGCCATTGGAGGGTTTGCTGGAGGTGGGGCGGTGGATGGAAGCCATTGGAGGTATTGTCAGAGGGGTGGAGGATAGAAGCCATTGGAGGTTTTGTTGGAGGGGGGCGGTGGATGGAAGCCATTGGAGGGATTGTCAGAGGGGTGGAGGATAGAAGCCATTGGAGGGATCGTCTGAGAGGGGCGAAATATGGAAGCCATTGGAGGGTTTGTTGGATAAGGGCGGTGGATGGAAGCCGTCGGAGAGGGGCGGTGGATGGAAGCCATTGGAAGTATTGTCAGAGGGGCGGTGGATGGAAGCCATTGGAGGGTTTGTTAGAGAAGGGCGGTGGATGGAAGCCGTCGTAGAGGGGCGGTGGATGGAAGCCAGTGGAGGGATTGCAGGTCTCATGGTCTCATGATTTCTTATGTGGAATAGTGAAGTTTCTAAATTGTCTTCTAAGTATAGCAAACAAACAATGAAGGTATAATTATGATAGTTGTCACTTTTTTGAATTCTTGATTGGTTGATGTACATTGGGGTGCAGCTGAAGTTGTCTCTTAAATGAAAATCTGTTTCTTCCCCCAGTCCAACATGAAGGAGTACCGGGAGCACATTGTGTCAGAGTTCGAGAAGCTGCACCAGTTCCTGAAGGAGCGAGAGGAGAAACTGCTGGAGCAGCTCCAGGAACAGGGCGAGAGTCTGCTGAAGGAAATGGAGGCCAATGTGTCCAAGATGCAGGAGAACCGAGACAACATCCAGCAGCATATTGCTGTGGCCAACAAGAGGGTGAACGATACAGACTCCATTTCTTTCCTGACTGTGAGTGGAGCCACTACTTTGTATTGGATGTTTGTCTTTTAGGTTGTCTTTAGATCTCACCATATTTTTCTGTCTTTTTTTTTTTCCATGTAGGACATCAAGACGTTCATTGAGACGTAAGTTTATTTTTAATATCTGCTCAACTTCATTGTATTTAGTAATAATATAGAAACTGTAATAACTTAATCCATCAGCAAGCTAAACATGTTGTCATTATGGCCACCAACATAAAATCTGTGACAGACTCTCAGAAGTGGAATCTTCTGGTGTGAAACCTTTCTCACTGAGACCTGCAGAGTTCTGTTCTGGAATCCAGGGAACATGGGTAACAACTGCACTGCCCCCCAAAGGATATAAATTAGAGCATCCAGGTAGCCATGACCATAGAAGTTGCAGGTTCTCATGGAGCACTCCCACATCCAGGTAGCCATGACCTGAGGAGATGCAGGTTCTCATGGAGCACTCCCGCATCCAGGTAGCCATGACCTGAGGAGATGCAGGTTCTCATGGAGCACACCCACATCCAGGTAGCCATGACCTGAGGAGATGCAGGTTCTCATGGAGCACTCCCACATCCTGGTAGCCATGACCTGAGGAGATGCAGGTTCTCATGGAGCACTCCCACATCCAGGTAGTCATGACCTGAGAAGTTGCATGTTCTCATGAAGCACTCCCACATCCAGGTAGCCATGACCTGAGGAGATGCATGTTCTCATGAAGCACTCCCACATCCAGGTAGCCATGACCTGAGGAGATGCATGTTCTCATGAAGCACTCCCACATCCAGGTAGCCATGACCTGAGGAGATGCATGTTCTCATGAAGCACTCCCACATCCAGGTAGCCGTGACCCGATGACTTGCAGGTTCTCATGGAGCACTTCTACAACCAGGGGAGTTGCAGGGTCTCGTAGAGCACTCCCATATCCTGATGGACGTGACCAGATGACTTGCAGGTTCTTATGGAGCACTCCCACATCCAGGTAGCCATGACCAGATGACTTGCAGGTTCCCATGGAGCACTTATGACTGGAGCAGTTGCAGGTTTTCATGGAGCACTCATGCTCTCTAGGTCTTCTCCAGCTTCTGATTGCTGCTGCTCCGGCTTGCCTGGCTGGGACACTTGGCCCAGTTTAACATCAGAACTTAGATGGCTCTTACATTCCTCCTAGCTGAGGTTTCCTCTCTGACATCTGCCAGAAATCACCTGAAGATATTAGTACACACTGTGCTGTTTATATCAAAATAGAATGAAAGAACTCGATTTACATGTTCCCGGGCAACACGTTTTTACGGGTGACTCTAGGTTTAGGTGCAGTATAGCCAGTAGAGGAAGTCAAAAGGATATGGGCACCCATGGAATATTTATCAATACTATACATGCAAATCTATAGACCTTATTGTGTTTTATATACGCTGGGCGGGTGCCATTTGCATGTCACAGCAAATGGCGCGAAGAGCTATCGGAATTTCCTAAAGTCATTTATATAAGTCCGTATGACTCTCCTATATATGCATGGTGTAAATGTATTTCTACCAGGCTAAATACAGTATTCACTCACCCTTTAAGGGGACCCTGTGATGGTAGCTATGTAAGAGCATCTTTAAATACCCAAGACGGAGGAGGCGTGTTCCTTGTCTTTGACTGACTAGATAGTGACCCCCATCACTAAGATGGCCATCCTAGAAGCCCGCACCGTCAGAAATGAGTCATCTGTTGTATTTCTTCCTGACAAGTTCTCCAGCAAATGTAATAGGGGTGCTGCTTTTTGAAGGGCGGCCTTTCTGTGTTGTGGACCCTCGTATGTTCCTACAATATATGACACTTTGTATTCACCGTACTTTCCCTTTCCTCCCAGGTGTCAGCAGCAACAAAAAGAGGTCATGTCTGCTGCAAACACTCTCATTGAGAAAGACCTGTGCCAGGGGACATTCAAGGGACCGATTCAGTACTCCGTGTGGAAGCAGATAAAGTCTGTGATCCTGCCATGTAAGTTCCGTTTGTAAAGAATGTTTTCATATTGGAGAATCGTGTTTATATGGAGCAATTCCTTATCAGGAAGGCATCTCTGCCATGGCTTCTACTAAAGATGTTTCCTGCTAGAACAAGGGGCCCATAGGGTATGCTGGGGGTTAGTCCTTGTCCCTGAGTAGAGCTATACTAAGAAACTCAAACTTTGGGTCTGTTTTAAATAGCAGGAACATTGGCTGGTCCCCATTTTTGGCTTCTTGAACGTCTCATTTATTTTCTTGGTGTTAGGAGATTATTATGGACCATCTCATTATTAATATGCGTTCTGTTGTCTTGCAGATCTGACTCCCATGTTGCTGGATCCCTGCACTGCCCACCCCAATCTGATCCTGTCCGATGGGCTGACCAGCGTTAAATATGGTGACGCCAAGCTTCCTCTCCCTGATAATCCAAAGCGTTTCAGCCAGTGCATCCTCGTGCTCGGGTCTGAGGGGTTCGATTCTGGCCGCCATTACTGGGAGGTTGATGTGGGAGACAAGACCGCTTGGGACGTCGGCATGGCCAGCGAGTCCAGCAACCGCAAGGGTAAGATCAAGCTGAATCCCAAGAACGGCTACTGGGCCATCTGGCTGAGGAACGGCAATGCCTACAAGGCCCTGGAGTCTCCATCCAAGACCCTGATCCTCAACTCCAAACCGAAGCGAATCGGCGTGTATGTGGATTACGAAGGAGGCCAGATATCCTTCTACAATGCCGATGACATGACCGCCATCTACACCTTCAGCGCCACCTTCACCGAGAAGCTGTACCCCTATCTGTCTCCATTCCTGCACGATTCTGGGCGCAATGCGGAACCGCTACGATTTGTTCATAATTGATCCTTCGTAGAGTTCTGATCGCATTGTTTTAATGTTTTATTTCAGAACGGCTTCCTTTTTTTTTTTTTGTGTTCTAGTTGTTGAACAGTATTACTAGACTACAGAAATAGTCTGTTGTCATCCGTAAGATGTGAAAATGACGGTTTATCATGCACATGCTGTAGACGTGTCACATTTGTTGTACTGATTGATTTTCTTTTTAATAAATCGAGTAAATTGTCATTTGGTCCTTGGCTGCAAATTGATTGGATGACACTGTTTCCACTTGCAGGGCCCGCACGGCTTATTACAGTAGATGCGAGCTCAGTCACTAAAACCTTGTATGCGATTGAACTACTTGAGGCCCAACTCGGCTCTGCTTCTGGTTCCTCCTCACCCCTGGATGCCCTTTAGGCTATGGGGTATTTTTGGTCCACTGTTGTCGCTGTGAGGAAGCCAGTCTGATGGAGATCAGCAGCATGATGATGGGGGGCGGGGGAGGGGGGCCTATTTATTTCACTTCATTTGAGGAACACGGGAAGTATTTCGCCTTTAGGGTATTCTTTTGCCTACAGGAGGATTGGACTCTGGCAAACAGGATTTTTGTACTCCATTAAGGGGCACGGGATTGGAATGCAGGGACATATGGATAATACTGCCAACTACAGAAGGGTTTGGACACTGGCACGCAAAAAAAAAAAGCTGTTGGCCAGCCAATTATCAGCCCTCTCACTTTCTGCTTGCTTCAGTTTTGTAGAAAAGGTGTAGTAGGTGTAGGTCACAACACAGAAGAGTGGGATTTGTGAACTCCAAGAAACATTTTATGCTTAAGTACAAACCTGCCATTTTTCTTCATCATTGGGGATCACACATAGGATCAATATTCAGAGACATGGGATCTCCTAAAGCAGTCCAGTTACCAATGTTCTGGTTATGAAATCACCTTATGCAGGAAGCGGGCTCTAGGCCCCCAGTATCAATAATCTGAGGCTTCGGATTTCCTAAAGCAGTCCTGCTGACCTGGACCAATGTTCTGGCTGAGATGAAATCACCTCATTAAGGAAACTGGCTCTAGCCCCCCCATGTATCAATATTCAGAGACCAGGGATCTCCAAAAGCAGTCCAGTTGACCTGGGCCAATGTTCTGGTTGAAATGAAATCCATTACAATGTTCTGGTTGAGATGAGATCACCTTATGAAGGAAATGGGCTCTAGGCCCCTCTGTATTAATCAGAGACATGGGATCTCCTAAAGCAGTCCTGCTGACATGGACTAATGTTCTGGTTGAGGTGAAAGTATGAAATCGCCTTATAAAGGTAGCAGGCTCTAGGGCCCCCAGTATCTATATTCAGAGACATGAGCTCTCCTAAAGCAGTCCAGCTTATGGGGTGGTGAACAGTAACAAAACTAATGGACCCACGTAAAAAACAGTAGAACTGAGGTTATCCTGCAGCTTAGCTGAGGGACCCGATGCCCAAAGCTGGCATCAAATGAGGTTTGAGCATCCACCTGGTAAAACTTGACGTATGATCAGAAGACCAAGAATGGCCGTGGATTCTGTGGAACGGTTGCCTGATGTTCAGCAAACTCAACGGGAAAATTGCCATAAGCCTTGACGGAGGCGATACAGTATATAAGGGTATAGATAGTCCCAACAAAGGCTACAAAAGCAACAGTCAGTACTGATTTTTTTTTTTTTCTACTCTGTTTTTAATTGGTCGATAAATAGAGATTGGCCATGTTTGTTACTTTTTTTGATATTTGAGTAAATGCTTTTTCATTCAACTACAACATTTATGGTCTGTCCCGGTCTTTAAATTAACCCTTGGACTGCCTATACTCAGTAGGCGGCCCGAACCCTTTTGTTTGAGGTTTGAGCATCCACCTGGTAAAACTTGACGTATGATCGGAAGACAAAGAATGGCCGTGGATTCTGTGGAACGGTTGCCTGATGTCCAGCACCACGACAGGAAATGATGGAACCGTATTTATAAGGTCATAAGTGTTTTCTGATGGAAGGAGTGGCTGATAAGTACCTTCCAGGCAGGAAAGGAACATTTCCTTTTGGTGAACTGGAGCTGGACATACCCTGTTTCCCCGAAAATAAGACCTACCCCGATAATAAGACCTGGTACTATTTTTGGGAATTGCTAAAATATAACACCTACCACAAAAAAATAAGACCAAGTTGTGACCATTCGCAGGGCCGGTAGTGGCATAAGGGGGAACTTGAAGAGAGCCGCGGGAGAGAATCAGCGGTGCCAATGAAGCCGGCGCTAGAGGAAGCGAGGCGGCACCGGAAGGAGCAGAGCCGCATAAGCCGATGCCTCCTCTAGAGCGCCTGCCACTGGCGGAGTGATACCAAATGCACTCCGCCTGTGAGGAATCCATAGTGAAAGTGCGCTTCCCTCATTCTGCCCAGCGATTGGTTACCAAATTGCTCTTGGAAAGGTACGGCACCCCCGATCACCATATTCTTAACTTTGTCATTTTGGATTATTTCATTTAGATTTGCATTAATTTTGGATTGTTGTACATTAAAAAAAAAAAAAAAGACCTACCCCGAAAATAAGACCTAGTGTGTTTTTTTGAGCCCCCAAAAAATATAAGACAGTGTCTTATTGTCGGGGAAACATGGGACCTCGGAGCACAATGTCCCATTTGGGTTGAAAGATTGAAGCCACCTCGGGAAGGAAGGAAGGAAGCTCCAGGCCTCGGCTTTATCCTTGTTTTAGGAAGTTCTTTGCAGTACAGAGCTTGTTGGCTCAGAGAAGAGCTTTGCAGAAATGATGGCTTCAGGGAACGCAAGCTGGAGGAAGTGGCCATTGTGACCAGGCCCGGACTTTCCACAAGGCCACCGAGGCCCAGCCTCGGGGCGGCAGCGGTGACCTTGTGGGGAAGTTGCGGGCGCCGGTGTAAGGTGTCCGCCGGCCGCACACTACGGTTCGCCGCCGTCCAATTACGATGGGGTGGCCCAAGGCTCCGTAGTGTGCGGCCACCGGCCAATCACGGCTCGGCGGGCCGCAACTCCTCCCCCCAGCTGTCAGATACTTCCTCCGGCGTCCTGTTAATGTGGATTGACGCCGGAGGAAGTAGCTGTCTACCTTGCTATCACACAGGAGCTTATTATTTCCTGTGTGATAGCAATAAAGTTAGGTGGGGGGAAAAAATTACATTGATTTAAAAAAAAAAATGTAAAAAAAATATTCAATAATTAAATAAAAAAATAAAAAGGTGATTAAAAAGTAA